CGGAGGGGACACAAGAGGAGCAGCGGCCTCCGAGACACCACAGCTCTTTGCCAGAACGCCAGCCAGTCGATAGGAAAAGGGGCACAGGGGACCGAAAAGGGGCACAGGGGACCGAAAAGGGGCCCGGACCCAGCTGGCCCGCTGGCAGCTCCGGAGGGGGAAGGTGGGGGGCTGCACCCCAAGGCGGGGGCACAGCCCACCACCCTCGGCACTGGAAGAGGAAAACAGGCACGGTGGGACCCCCCACCAAAATCAACCCAGCCACACACACAGGGGAGCTTGGAAGGGCGACAGGACGTAGTTACGGGTTATTTGCTTGGCAAGGAGAAAAACCAAAGCCCTGCAAGAGGCAGCCAGGCGCTCGACCTCGTTAACGTCCAACGGCACGCCGGTTCTGATCTGTTTTGCCAGCAACTGGATTAGCCAAGCTCTGAGACCCCGACGGCTCCGGCAGCGCAGTTGCTCCTGGGAGGGAGGAGAGGTCAGCTATTTTCTGTTCAGTGCAAGCTATTGAAAACAAGAAATTCTTCTCATGGCACTTGGCCATGACCGAGCGTGTGTTGCTAACTATAGCCTTCCGTTTCAACAAGCTTCTCATTTATCTTTGCGTGCGAAGACACGTAAGAGGTTGACCTGGGTTGGCGACCTCTTCGCTCCCCTCAAAACTGAGAGGCTGAGGCTGGCTGCGGTGGAGTTTAACCGGGGAGAAACAGCGGCACAGAACACCCTGAGACACCAGCGAGCTTGGTGCAATCCCGTTCAGATGTAAGGAAAGGAAAGGCAAAGCAAGGAGCACGTCCCTGGAGCAGGGCCAGCCCCCGGCTGCCACACAAGCCTTGAACAGAACATCAGGAACTCTGGAAAGACGTGATAAACCCAGGACGCAGAGAGATAAGGCCATAACTCAGACATTAAAAAAAATTAATTCCAACTCCCCTTCACAGGGTTGAAGCAGAGGTTTCCTGGGAATGGTTTGAATAACGCTTTTCCCGTCCTCTCAGCTCCGTCTCACCTCCCGGAACTCCACGCGCGTCCCCAGGCGCAGGACCCCACTGCAGTTTGCAAACGCAGCCGAACGCCGACGGCCGCCCGAGCGTGGGGAC